GGCCCCCGGGGATGGCCAGGCCCGGGCACTCACCCCCCGGCGAAGAGGTGGAGCAGCGTGTTCTCCTGCGGGGCGCCCGCCATGGCTCCGCCGCCGGCTCCTGCGACCGGCACCGCGGTTGCCTCCTCACTGCGACTGCGCCGGCTGGGCCCAGGACCAGGGCCTGGCGGGGGAGGAGCCTCGGGAGTCACGTGAAGCCGGCGGGATGTGAACCCACCAACCAGGGGCTGAGCCGGGCGGGACCTTCGGGGGGCAGGGCGGGGGCGCTGGCACTGACGTCATAGGGAAAAACGAAAGCGCTGACGCTACAATAGGCTGTTGGGTGGCGAGGCTGGAGCATTGTGGGATGGGGGTGCAATGGGGAGATTGTGGGGTGCAATGGGATGGGGATGCAGGGAGATTGTGGGGTGCAATGGGGAGATTGTGGGGTGCAATGGGATGGGATGCAGGGAGATTGGGGTGCAGTGGGATGGGGGGTGCAGGGAGATTGTGGCCCACAATTTGTGGGGTGCACTGGGATGGGGGGTGCAGGGAGATGATGGGGTGCAAGGAGATTGGGGGTACAATGGGATGGGGTGCAGGGAGATTGGGGGGTGCAGTGGGGGTGCATGGGATGGGGTGAAGACTTGGGGCTAGTGCAATGAGATTGGAAGGGGTATGCAAGGGTGTGAGTTTAGGGCTGGCACATTGGGGCTGGGAAGTACAGCAGGGGTAGGGATGCACAGAGGCTGTGTGTACACCAAGGAGCCAGCTTTTGCAGTGGGGCTTGATTACATTAAGGAAGCAGTCAAATCAGTTTGTATAACAGGACTGTGAGGTTCAGTGGGCCAGGACTTTTCCAATGGGGTAGGTTGTTGGGACAGCTGGAACCTAGGGTGCAATAGAGCAACTGTTTGCAACTGTGCAGAGTGTTATCTGCAGTCTTTCACGCAGATTGATGTTACAATGTGGTGACAAGGTTGCAGATATTTAGGCCTGGAGATGGGTGGAGATTTGAGATCAGAGGGATGATGATAGTGTCTGATAGGACAGTTCCAGGCTATAAACTCAATGCCTTCCTGAGATAAGAGAATCTTATCTGAGCCTCATTCCCTTATGATTGCCTTGCTGGGTGGAGTTCCTGGGTGTTAAAGCTGAGTGCATTATACTGCTAACTACTATACCTGGGTGAAGTCAGTGGGGATTGCGAGGGATAAAAGCGGTGGCACGATTTGTCCCAAAGGTATTTTGCTACTGACATATTTCAGACTAAATAACTAAATGCTGCATCTTTTCCCTGAGTGTAATGTCAGCCTCTTTTGCACACTTAATATCTCCCTCGTCTCTCCTTCAAATCTCTCAACAAAACTGTCAGCTAACATCCCATCTCCATCCCCATCATGCTCCTCTATCCAGGTGTTTTCTATAGTCATTCACCTGCCTGACCTGGCAGGATTGAAACCCTCTACTTGGTATAGGCAGCCCAAATTTTGCCATTCTAAAATCATGAGTTTGGCTTAAAGATAACACATTTCATATTCTTTCTATTTCCAGTCTGGTTTTTGAATCTTAAAGGGGCCCAGGGGTCATATTTGCTAGCTTTTCTCCACAGGCATTAGGGCTAGAGGCTCTCGACTTAAAAAAAAAAAAAAAAAAAAGTACACTGACTTTCTCACAATCTCTTGACTCCTGGAGTTGCGGCTTTAAGAAAAATACCAAACAAAATCCCAAGAGTTGGCCACACTGTCACCCCCCCAAAAACATGGCTATTCAAATTATTGTAACTCACACTGGGGGCATGCAAAAAAAAAAATCCTTTAAAAACTTCTCCGTTTATCCTATTAACCTCCCCGGAACAAATACACAGATACTTGATCAGGATCCTTAATGTCTTTGCTGACTGTGTTACCCGTATAAATCAGAATGTAAGCTACTCAGGGCTGTGATACCTACCGTGAGCCATGTGGAGCTCTGGCCTTGATTCAGCTAAGTAATGGGACTATTCACTTGGTTCAAGCTAGGTGTGTGCTTAAGTACCGTGGGCATATGTAAACAGTAATTAATAATCAGATCATCCTCTGTATCCTGCCAGATACAGTTGGGAAAGCAGAGACTTGCCAAAAGCACAGGCATTTCTAGACAGATGTCAAACACAGGGCACCTGGCTCCGATATCAGCTCACATCAACAGTTAACAACTCTGTCTGCATCGCACATTTACTACTTTGAAGAGTCAGCATGCTTTCTAATATTGTCACTGAACACAGAACTATTTCACAAATATACCGGGAGACTGTGGATTATTATTATAACAGTGCTTATCAATTTAGCATCTGGACTGAAGACGCTCGGGGGGTACAAACCAGCAGTGCTATTAACGTCCTGCACCCACATCTTCCTTTAAGCATCTACATTGTGTCTCTTTATAACCTGACCCTTAAAGCTGGAGCCAGGAACTTGTGTCTGAATCACTTTAATGATCACTTATGTTGTACTTTTCTTCCATGGACTTCAAAGCAGCTTACCAAGGTATTCTATTCTAGTTTGTTCTATAAAAGTTCTTATACCTTGCTTATCACCATAGTGTCTGAACTCTTTTCACTAGCGCATGAAGCAACGTGACTACACATCTGTCATGGGTTATTTGTTCTCACATCCTGTCTCCAGGGGGAGAAGCACGTGCAGTGGAGTGTCTTGTTTTGGTAGGTTTTTTTAGTGTTCTTATTTTTAAACATGCCTGTTGCTGTGTTTATATGTTGGCTAAGGCAGGTCCCAGAAATGTGCCTTGCACTTGGAGTGGAAGGCAATGAGGTTTTTGATGGTCCTTGGTTCTTGTGTGGGAGTTCATTCCACAGTCTCGGACGGCCCCTGAAAAAATTCTGTCTCCTGCACAGACAAGCTTTACCCTTATTGTAGAGAGGAGTTGAGTTGTGAACCATGGTCTTCATTCCAGAGCGTTAGGTGATCTTTTAGATATCTTAGGCCCAGGCCATGAAGCGCTTTGAAGAGGACTGAGAAGACTTTGAAACTGATTCGAAATTGTATGGGGAAGCCAGCGTAGAGAGCAGAGGACAGGTCTGAGGTGCTCACAGCAGACTGTGTTGCTAAGGAGAAACACTGCAGCATTCTGTACTAACTGGAGTTTCCCAAGTGCTGAAGGTTTCATGCCCTGAAGATTTATCACATTGCTGTAGTCCAGTTGAGAAGTGATGAAGGCATGAATAACTGAGGCCAAATCATTGTTCGCCAGGATGGGACGGAGTCTCTTAGCCAGATGGATATGATAGAAAGCATTACTCGCAGATTCAGTTGTGAGATCTTAGCGTCCGCAAGGAATCCAAGAGTACTCCTAGATGATGGACCAAATTGACCACTTGTGAATGTCTACCATCAACCAAAGGAAACTGCACCCTAACTGCAAACTTTTCAAAATGCTAGGTACATCCCTAAGGTATTATCCCTAATTTGCAGATGTGGAAACCGAGGCACTGAGAGGCAGCAATTTGCCCAAGTTTGCATGCTGAGTCAGTGAAAGAGTCAGGAATAAAATCCAGTTCTCTTGTAGCCCAGTTATCTGATCTAGCCACCAGACAATTCTGCCTCTAGCTCATTTTACCCTTTCACTGCCAAAAATATTTCAAACCACTCACCCACAGGAATGTTGTGGTTTAGAGACAGGTATTTCTCATATCAGTAATTGCATGTTTTCTCTGGAATGTCCATATGATATATTGATTTTCTTATTAGGGTAATAATTAGGGTCTTTCATTACAAAGGATCACACACGCTACATACAACTCATTGGAATGCAGCCACCTCTGGGGCAGAGGCAGGTAGATAAGTTCAACACAGGAATAAATTTTGGCTATGGACATAGGGAGCAAAACCCAACCTATTACAAAAAGTGCCATCAGATTTTACCAGTACTTTTATATTTGCACTTTGGTTCAGTCCATGTCATCATAAGAAATAAGAATCCATATGTCGTAAGCCATTATAAACCTAATCTATGCAGCAGAGTAAGCCTATGTACCAATAGAACTGTTCTCAAGTGCTATGAAGAGGACTACGTATATGTTATTCAGGGAGTAGCTGACTGTAGATGTTTTTTGCAGAATGGAAAGGTGCGGGTGGGAAAGTTTAAAATCCATCTTTGAAATGCCCATACTATATGTCTGTGTTATAAAAGGTCCCATTCCAGTTCCAACCTGTGACACATTTTGCTGGCATTCTAATACCATTCAGCAGCAGGGATCTCAGTTTCATGTGTTTCAAACCATCAACTGCAATCCCAGAAAATCATGCTCTCTCTCACATGGTTCCCAACAGGCAGCTGTCAGTCATGGGACAAGCCTTACACAGGGATAATTTTGGAAGTAGTTTAATTTAAATGAGGGACCAAGGTGGAGAGGCTAGGCAAAGAGGCAATACAGATACAACACGGCTACCACTGAAACCTGTCTCCAGGTGAAATGTTTCACCAGGATGTTGTGTTATATATAGGCAAAGACACTGCAGCTAGTAGAAACTTGTGTTTGTGATAGATAGATAGATAACAAGGAAAGATGACTTAGGTTCCGATTCCCAAAATGAAGGAGGGCTCCACAGAAGCCCTGTTGAGAATGATGCTATCTAGCAGTTTAATGTCAAAGGTAATGTCACATCCTTTCCTCTCCCGTTCAATTTCATTATCTTACCTTGGCTCAGATGATCTGGCCCTGCTCTACTGTTCTTGCACTTTCTGATCTGAATTTTGGGCAGCATTCTCCAGTCTGCAATTTACAAGGTTTGCTTTTTCTGGGTCCAAAGTCTCTGTCCTGCCCTCCCCACTTGCTCTGTATCTGCAGCCAACCCGAACTTTTTAAAAAGCGCTTTAGTCTGAGACCTAGGGCATGTCAATGCAAGCACTTACTGTGCCCCTACTAAGCTGGAGTGTACATCTACAGCACTCCAGCATGCCATGAAGAGTGTCTATGTGGACCCTGCTGGTGTGCACTATAGGTTCCCTAGTGCAGATTGATATTGGGTCCACATAGACACGTAGTGTGTGGCACACTGGAGCACTGTAGATTTACACCCCAGCTTGCCACACAGTAAGTGCTCATGTAGACATGCCCCAAGACTGAAGCCCTCTCTGTACTAGTGGTTGCA